AAAATTAAAAATAAAATAAAATAAATTATTGAATGAGGTGCGCGTGCAGCCGTTTTTTTGGAAAAGAGAGGAGGGAGAGAACGGGGTTGTTGGGGTTTGTCGTGGAGCAAAATAATTTGGGAGTATTTTCAAATAGTTTAGGTATTTAAACGAAAATAATTAAAATAAATAACGGAGCAAAATAATTTGGGAGTATTTTCAAATAGTTTAGGTATTTAAACGAAAATAATTAAAATAAATAATTTCGGGTACTTAAAAATCGAAAATAATTAAAATAAATAATTTCGGGTACTTAAAAATTAAACTAATTACATAATAATTATCTACAAAAAAAACGTTCATGTTGAGCTAATACAACAGTTGATACGAAACTGTCGAAATATACCCATATTGTACAATTAAACAAAAATAATTAATAATAAAAATATATTTACTTACATTTAAAATCAAATAATTATGTGACAATTATCTACACGATAAAACGTACCAGTTATGCTAACAGCTGATACGTAATAATTATAATAATACAATAATTTACACAAATAATACGTAATTAATAATTCAATATAATACAAGAATTAATACTTAATAGTAATAATATTACGACGTATTATTTAAAATAATACGTAATAGTATCGGTAAACCAACGGATAAATCCCAAAAATTTTCATTGCACTAAATTAATTTATAAATATAAAAACCATTTAAATAAATATAAAACTTAGACTTTAAATCATAGAAAATTCTAGAAAATCGAGAAAAATACAAATACTCTTTTAAAAATCATAATTAAATATTTTAAAATACCAAAAATTTATTTTAACTAGTATCAAAATTTTACGGTCATACAGTCCACCAAGGTCACCCTATAATCTGCTACCTCCAAAGCTCCAAGTAAAATAATGTTCATCTTCAATTGCGGAACGAACCTCACATCATCCAACTTTCGCATCATCCCATCACTCATCCTAATCCGAATAGTACCAATACCACCAATAGAGCATGCATGTTCATTACACATGAGCACAACATCCTCTCTTTTTAACTTCTGAAAGCTGGAGAACCAATCCCTCCTAGGGCAAACGTGGTAAGAAGCACCCGAATCTAACATCCACTCCGTATAGTCGGCATCACAAACTGATGGTAGTACGGATAACGAATAGTCTGAAGAATCCGAATCTGAATTGTTACCACCAGTCTTGATAACATTCACCTCTGAAGCTTGTACAGCTTTCCCCTTATTCTTCTCGGCTCGATCTAACTTTGGGCATTCAGCTTTTCAATATCTATCCTCTTTATAAAAAGCACACTAATTCCTACGAATCCCACGATGTGCACCTCTAGACTGCAACCTCCTGCTTCGGTTTGAATCACGGCCTTGAACTACTAATGCATCTCCCGATGCCTTCTCGGAGGACTCATCAACACTCTTCCTCAACTCATAATTCACCAACGCTGAGGTCACCTCCTTATAGCTAACAGTAGTTCTTCCATTAATCATAGTGAGAACAAAGGTACCATAATCATCCTCGGGCAACGAACACAAAAGTAGCATCGTCTTGTCTTCATCCTCAACCATAATATCCACATTGGTCATGTCTGAAAGTAGCTTCGTGAAGTTGTTAACATGCTCCCTGATGGAAACTCCCCTCTTCATCTTGAACTGGTAAAACCTCTTCTTCAAGTAAAGCCGATTCTCAATGCTCTTAGTAAGATACTTTCATTGAGTGTTTCCCACATCTTCTTCGTCGACGTCTTGTTCATCACATCATAAATAAGATCCGGCGTCAAGCATGACTGAATAACTCCACACACCCTACTATTCATCTTCTTCCAAACCTTTTCTTTCATATCAGTAGGTTTCTCTTGCAACTCAAGAGTCTCTTCTACTATTCATCTTCTTCCAAACCTTTTCTTTCATATCAGTAGGTTTCTCTTGCAACTCAAGAGTCTCTTCCAAGTTTTGAGCGTCCAACGCATCCATCACTTGGCACCTCCACAAACCGAAATTGATCTTGTCATCAAACTTCAGAACATCGATATTCATGTTATTGATGCTCAAACTATGTATCGTCTTCATAAGTGACGATCCCGATGTGCTTGCTTCACTCATGTTGTCGATAACTCTTCAAATAGGAATCCTTCAGTGAATCCTTCAAACAAGCCTCAAGTCGAACCCGAAGCTCTGATACCAATTGTTATGCGCGGCGCGGAAGCGATCGAATCACACACAATCCAAACAAGAGAGATCACAACCAAATAAACAAGCACAATCACCAAATAACACAAGAGATTTACGTGGTTCGGCAAATTGCCTACGTCCACGGGGCAAGAAAGGGGATGGGGTTTTCACTAATAGAGAAAGAGTACAAACTGAGATTACAAATCACTCGAATGAACAAACTAATCTCACCAACAAGCTCTTAATCTCTCCAAACAAAACCCTAAACAAATAGCTCAGAAAATACCTCTTTTCTGTGCTCCAAATATCCCTAATTTTCTTCTTTATTCTCTCTTCCAATTGTTCCATATATATAGAAATCCTAAAATCATAAACATACTAGGAATTCTAAACCAAAAGCCAAAACAAATTAGGAATCCTAATAACCTATCACCAAAATAGATTAGGAATCCTAATAACCTCATGTTACCAAAATAGATTAGGAATCCTATTTTGTATAAATATGAATTTTTATTTCGTCTAGTAAAGGATACTGGTTTCATGCCAATAGGGACATAGATAAAGAAGGTTTTTTTTCCCCTTTTTTTCTTTTTCATAGTTTCCAACTAAAACATAGAAGTTCCTTATGAGTAATATGTTCACATATTTGTAATCCTTTGATTTGTTTCATTATGTTCTTATATACTAATGAAACTCAGGGGTCATCTTGAAACTTAACCTCATTATTAATCTGGAAAAAAAATCAAACAGATAAACAATAAGATTATAAATCTCCCCTGCATATTAGGGGGTGTTTGTTTCAAATCCTATAATTTTAGGATATGAATTTCACCATGGGATTTGAAATCCATAGGTAATTTGTTATGGGTTGGGATTCCTAAAACTTTGTTTGTTTCAATAATATTTTGGGATTTGGAATACTATAATTTGTAATATTTTTGTTTGTTTTAAACTTTTTGGAATTTAAAATCCATAATTTGTATAAAGCTTTTGAAATCCACCCCACATCCCACATGAAAAAGAGGATTTTACAAATCCTTAAATATATTATTTTTATTATTATTTGACGATTTAATATCCTAAAACTTATTTTGAAACAAACAAGCTTTATGGAATTCTAAAACCCCAAAAAACCTCTTTTTACATCCCAAAACTTGAAATCCACACCATATCCCCAAAAAAAATGAAACAAACACCCCCTAATTAGTGTCTATCTCATCCTCATATTCATCATACTTTACGGGGACTAATTTTTTGATTACTTCGCCCATGAAATTCGACTTCTGATTTAACTGTAGATTGATGCTCGCATGTCACCATTTATTTACTGCTGAGAAGGAGAAAATTACCTTGATCATCCAATCGTTTAATTAACTCGCAAATTAAGTTTTAGTATTGAATTAGTGTTAGAGCTACTTGGGGTGGTTAGATTTGACTTCTGTTCTCATTATTTATGGTGGGAACGAAGGTAAGTGGATGGAATCCTGCTTGATAAATGTAGTTTAAAGTATGTCATTTTTCTACACATAATCCTAGCTTGCTCAATATTTTTGGATGTTCCCCAAACTTGGCACTTTGTAGTGCAGGTCAAAATCAGCACCAAGTTGCCACTCATTATTATGTTGGTCTTTTCTTCTTCAATTGTTTACTTATTAGTTAGTCAGAATGGATAGGGGTTTGACATTGAACAACATTAGACGAACCTAGTCATTCTCAAAGTTTGGCAAAGAACAGTACTTAGCCTTATCGGCAATGTGATCACGTGCATGAGGAACTTCTCTAGAATGAACATCACAGCAAAGTCTTAAAAAAATTACAGTAACGTCTAACTATGATCTTTCAACATTACAGGAGTATGGAAAGACAAAACAGAGCGTTGATTCAGCATTTAGATGGAGATCGCAGATGATTAGATATCCGAGTGGCAAGATGCGCATGATCGCACGCTATATTTAAACTTCTGTCACTCTAGAAGACCGTATTATTTTTTTAAAATATGACAAATTAAATTCTTACTTCATTCATGAAACAAGAGAGTCAATATCAACAGTTATTCTCAAAAATTGGACGCATGAAATTTTTAATTTTTACTTAGAGGGAATATATAGTCACGAAAATTTAGGCACCTTGCATGAAACCAGATTACAAAATACATGATCCTTCAAAATGATGACTAAAATTCTCAGAAGTCAAAACCTATAACAAAAAAAAAAGTCTCAATATCAAAAACAGAATAGAGGATCTTTCGGGATCATCACTTTTCCACAAAAATGAATGAGGTATTTGGCATGGCTCAAAAGTGTCAATTAATTGTAAATAGTTGTTGGCCAACTGAGAAATGGCTATTATTATACTTTTTTTAACACGATACCAGACTTTGAAATCATACAGGTAAAGCAAAGCTTTGCTCTAAAGTCTTTGAGTACCATAAGAGTAGTTGGATTGAACGAAAGTTAACCTTTAATCCACTTGTTATTATAGAATAATAGAAGCAAATATATAGCCGCCCAATATTTTCTATCTCGTTAAAAAAAATCTGATGCGGTCTTCAGAAAATCATATAGAATGAATAAAAATACATTAATAAATAAATCTCCCATGAATCTTCTCTATGTGCATAGGGTCCGTCTTTGAAAATGCAGACAGGAAGTTCGTCGGTAATGTATCATTTTGAAAGGTATAAATAAAAATACAAAAAAAAGGAAAGAAAAAAAACAAGCCAAAGAGTGTTTAGTGCAGCTGAAGGTATAAATAAAAAGGGTTATGCACAATTTATCCTTTTTATTTTTGCAGATTCTCCGTATCATTAATCAACCGATGAGAAAATGACACACATTTAGCAGATTGATTCACTTACATGCTTTATACATCTCTGGTTAATAGTACATATACATAAACTAGGAAGTGTGAGGGAGCAGTAACTATGCCTCATAAAAAAACCTCCCAGTTACAGGGTAATATCAATAGTATCCATCACCTTTACATAATAGTTTGTGATTAGTAATGTAGGAGGCATCAAAATCCACAAGGAGAAGGAAACCGTCAGGCTTCTCCTGAGCCTGACCCTTGGCTAAATTATTCTAGTCCTCCATCTGAGACCTCCTCCTCTGGCAACTCAAACGCGTCGATTTCAGCAAAGTAGGCTCTCTGCTTCTCAACAAAATCGGGAGGAAAAACGGACTTCTGAAGCTTGACAGGTGACGACCCATGCTGATGCTTTCTCTGTGGATCGATTGCGAACATGAGTTACAAATAAACGTAGTTCTGCAGCATTCCTAATGCAAAATCATTGCATTGTGCAGAGAAATACATCAAAAGATAGGGGAGTCGACGCAATGGTAGTAACAAGTGTACAGTGACTGTACAAAATTAGAATCACATACACAGCTCACATAATGGTGCCAAATGGGTCCTCCAAGCAGGAAGGTCTTATGACTGAGAACAAATGCAGAGTCTGTCATTTACAGCATGCGAACTTTCATTCACAGAATGCGAACTTACACATCCTTAACTTGTAAAAAGGAAGATTTTTTTTTCCTTTTTTCTTTCTTTTGTTTACCCCTTCCCTTCAGTTTTTACAACCACTAGTTACATAGTAAACAGATATTCCCAAGTGGAGATCTACTACTTTGTTTCTGGTGATGATTCTAACCCTAAGAACTAGATGAAAACATCTAATCCTAGAAAAGAAAACGGTTTTCAGGTTCCAAACAATTCAAAGCATTTGAATCCAATCAGAAGAACAAATATGAAAACGTTGATACTCATGGCATATCAAGCTGAGAGAACACCACAAGCCTCACTTGTCCCTGGCTCAGTTATTCTAAAAGAAAACAGATTTAAGATTCTGGCAAAGAAATACATCCATTTAACATATCAAAACAATGGAGAAGAAAGACAAGTGAGATCCACAGGGTTGAAATTTGTAGAACATACAAAGAAAAAAGTAAAATTATATGAAGGGTTGGACGAGCCACAGGGTTGGAAGCATTTAAAAGGTACCACAAAAACAATATAATTTTATAAATCTTATATTAGAAGACTTGAGTTTATAACAACTTGCTTCGTCTCAAAGAAGGAAATGTGGGAAGGACAAACCTTTTGGGTTCTTTCACGGGGAGCTGAAAAGGCTTTATGCAGAGCACCAATATGATTCTTCAATTTTGTATGTCTCCTCGTTAAAAGGCATGAACAATGTTAGGTAAGTAATAAAATACTAAAGATCAACAACAAAATCATGTGTGACAATTATGCTCATAGTATGCAAGCTTCTCATAGTTGCTCAAATCATGGTTTGGTCAGTTCATTCGGGTCATACCAATTAGTCTTTGCCCTTAAAAACTCTGCTTAACAATGAAATCTCTAGGATGTTGATAACCATTGTTAGCAACCCATCGCAAATGATGGCAACAGTTTTTACAGTGTAGATAAATTATAGTCATTACCATATCATGGAACATGTATATGCAATGGATTGTATGAATACAATCTATTTTCTTTTTTAAATAGATCTACCTCTGCTTCCGATGTTCCTCGCAGTAAATCTCTCAGCTTGCTATCAATTTAAGCAATTACAAACATGTGATGTGGCCAACATCCAAGGAAAACAAGCAGGTACATAGTTCAATTAAATAGGAAATGAATGAAATTAACCAAATAGTTAAAGTGATTTATGGATCATGCAAAGGAAGCATAAATACATTTGTTTCCAATAGATGGAATATAAAGTATTGTATTAACAAGTTTAATCAATTTCTCCATGTGGGCAGTAGAGTAGATAACATACTCAATGCTTCTATTTCGTTCTGGTGGAGGGCAGCTTAGAGTTGAAGTAGCTTTGAAAGCAATCTCCTTGTCCTTTCTTCTAACTTTAATTGGCCGTGAATTGTTTGAATTTTCATTATTGTCAACATCTTTGCCTGTGAAGAGTATAAACATGAAAACGTGAAAAAAAATTCAACTTTATATATGGACAAATGCTAACAAAAAGTCAGGTTTGATTTGAGATTGATGAAAATGCGAGAACAAGGAATGCAAGTAGATTACTGACCATAGAGAGAGAGAGAGAGAGAATCCTAAGTATCAAATTATTATCTCATGACTGAAAGGAATTAACAATGTTAAACATGCATGTCAGAACTCTGAACAGTAAGCAAAGATTGGTCATTGAATACCATTGCAGTCCACTGATCCTCAATGATTTAATGGTAAGGATCAGTGTTGTCAATGCGAGAGGCGCAATGCGGGGCGCAAAGCATCTTTACGCGCACATGCTCAATGCGCAACGCGATGCGTGCGCCCAAGTGACATGAGGCTCTCACCGCACACATAATTTCTCAATATATATAATCAAGCACGAAAGAACATGTTTTTAGAATTTACATGAAAAATATGTCAGGATGAATAATATAATACTACAAAATCACAATATAATAACTTAATTTCTAATGCTAACACCCAACATAATAGCAAAATGAATAAATTTTCAAATCAAATGTTAAATCAAGACAAATATCCAAGCAAAGGATTAGTAATGGTCCTCAATTGAAAGCTACTAAAAAGGCCTAATGGATTTATTTTGCTTTTTGGGATATGGATTATCAAGTATAAAGACTCAATTGAAATGCTTACAAACAAAACTATATGAGGATATGTACTACATGCACCCTGCACAAAGTAAGGATATACGCAAGGCGCAAAAGACGCTTCTGCATCAGATGTGAGGCGCTTCGCCACCGCCCCGTATTGCAAGGCGCATGAGGTACGCGCCTTTGAAAACACTGATAAGGATATGATGGTTAATTCACCAATTTATCCTTTTAACACTTTTCATAAAAAAGGACACCTTAATTTTCACTTTTAGCATATATTACAGCATATGTGTACCCGCAATATGAAATTCAATTGAAATCCTCATAGAAGGAACAAACATGATGCTATGTAAAGGACAAGTCTCATAAACATAATTGTGAGCTCTCTCTGATTATAATCAAACTATGGGTAGACTTTATTAGGCATGTAAGTTAAAGGAAATACATTTCCCCAGAGAGAACATAAAATGAATTTCTTTTTGAAAAGAGTAGAAAAAGAGGGAAATATCAAGATAGTTTAATTGGGAGGTTCAAGATCTATTTCTAGTACATTTATAACCAGTCATATTTTGTTTGAGAAGAGGAAAATGGTAAAAGGAAAGTTAGCAAAATCCTAACAAAAATGATTTAACATTTTCCTCTTCTCAACAAACAACAACTGACTATAAATGTATTGGAAATAGTTCTTGCACCTCCCAATTAAACTACTTGATATTTTTTTTTCCTACTTTTCTCAAAAAGAAACTCATTTATGTTCTCTCTGGGAGTCTCTTTCAGTCTTTCCACTGGTTTCATTAATGGTGAGGAAAGACATCCATTACATTGAAAGGATGATTGCAAGAAATTAAAAGGTTGACGCACATTAGAATGTTTATATCATTGTTTGAGATTGCTAGTGCACCATAATTTTGAGCATGCATTACAAGTTGCTGATGGTGGGTGCAACATTCTCTAGAAATACAGCAAATACCACTATGGATTGACCGCACATCGAGTACACTATTGTGCAAAAAATGCTCCACATTGTTTGAAGCATGACTATTATGCACCTCAAATGTTTTCCTGACTTTGTGAACCAATTTAATGATATAATAGCAAAAATGATCTCTGACCTTTCTTTAATAAAAAATTTTAGAAGTCAAACCTTTTCTTTCCAAACTCAAACCGAATTTATTCAGTGAATTAAATTCCTTTCCAGCTTTTAACTTCTCTCCATTTCAAACCTATCGTCCTCAGAAAATAAGAATTACGTCAAAAAAGACATAAACGAAGTTCCCAACTTCATCATTGCGCATATCTACGCTACTGAGACCAAATTTTTCGAGTGTTTAATTCACAATGTATGACAAAAAGGTGCAAACTTTACAGGAATAAACTTACGCCGACAAAGATCTAAGGAAAAAAAAATCTCAATTTCATCCCATAAATTTCTACAGACCCTAGAAATTTTGAGAAGCGATGAACTTTACCACAAGTCGACGCCGCCGAGCTCTGAAGATCCCCGCGGTTCTCTTCCTCGTTAGCAGTTGAGGAGAAAGCGGGTTCCGCGTCTTTGGGTTTCGGGCCGGGTTTGGGTCTGGGTTTGGGCTTGGGTTTGGATCTGACAAGGGGGGAAGGCGAGTTGGTGAGATCGGAGAAGGGTTTCCTCTTGATTCTGCTACCGCTGACGCTGGATCCGCATCGGTTCTCCATTAGGGTTAAGCATGGAGAGGAGATGTTAGGGTTAGGGTTAGGGTTTAGGGTTTCAGAGGGGAGAAGAGACTGGATTGAGGGGAGAAGAGGCTGGATTTGTGTGGACGAAGAGAGAGAGAGAGAGAGGAAGGAACCGATGTAAAATGTTTGGTTACCCCTTTCTTTGGGGGGTTTTGGATATTAGTCCCTAAGATATTCGATATTTTATACTAGAACCCCATATTATTGAAATTTGATATCAGTCCATCAGATCATATATATAACCATGTTGATATTAATTCTTCTGTCATGTAATATGTTAAAATCTCTTAACCATAGTTAAGTATGTGGTAACCATATATAACTATTTACCAAATTACCCTCCATTTCTAATTACATCATCTCCAAAACAACACCTCCTCCTCCTCAAATTCTCCATCTTCACTACCGGCAGAATTATTACTTGAAATCTTTCCACTGCCCTCAACACCCCCAACCCCCACCCCCACCCCAAAAAAAACCCCTCAAACCTCTCTGTCATCACCACCACATCGTGGCCCCATGACCAATATCCTCAAGAATCAGAGAAAGCCATTCGGAGGAGAGGATGACGACGATGCGGCGTTAGGTTAGCCCATGATTATAGTAATATAAAAGCGGAACCTTTTTCAAGAAGAACTACATCAAAAAATCCATCAGCGGCTAGTGTATGCACCATTATATCAATCCTCAACCTTATCTTAACTATCTCTCGTACCTTTCATCAAACAAGTTGAGAGCGTTATCAACTTTCCTATGTTTATGGAGAAAATACATCATTGTCTCATGGGTCATCTTCTCCTTCAACATCCCATTTATAAGTGCCGACATTGGGGTTTATTGAAGTATTTTGAAAGAGGCGAGGAGTCAAGGGGTTTACCAGAGCTGTAGAGGGATTTGATGAGGAGGTTGGGGAGGTGGGTTTGGAGATCGGGTGGTCGAGCTTTAATATTGGTGCAGCTATTGAGAAGGCAGAGTTAGGAGGCTGTGGTTGGGAGAGTGAGTGGAGGAGTTGGGTGGTGTTGCTGTTGGTAGAGTCTCTATGACAATTATGAGTTGGGTGGAGAGGATTGAGATGGAGCGATGGTTGAGACGTAGATCTGATTAGAGATGAAGGACGCGTATGAGGAGTTCATGAGGGTAGAGAGAAAAAGAAAGGAGAAGAAGCAGGTTTAGATTTGTAATGTTAATGGGCTTGATGTTTTAAACGGGTATGAATCTACTAATAATGGGTTTGGATTTGTGATCAAAGGGGTACAATGGTCAACCTACTCTTAAAGTTAATGTTAACGTAATATTCTAACCAAATCAAGTAGCCCCTTACTGTATGGCCTAATCTCAACATGGGTACATAATTTGGGGGACTAATATTAAATTTTAATGTTTTGACGGCCTAATATCAAAATAGTGATGACACCAGGGACTAATATTGACAAACCCCTTTTTTAGGGCCTTGGGCCTTGGACGGTGGACAGAGTCGTACGTATCAACGGGTACGAATTTAATGTGCTAGCGAGCTCCATGGCAAAATGTAATTGTTAAAACGTACATCAAAAAGACATTTTTAATTGTATCTTGCCAAATAAAAATTTAAGTTGAGAATTTTCTGCGGTGGATCCTCGCGTTTATATAATCGACATATTAAAGCGTAAATTTTAAAAACTTCACGGTATAACAAGGGCTCCCGAGAACAATTGAGGGCATAAGAAGTGCGAAGCAGCAGAAGCTAAAGCATATTTAAGTCAACAAAGCCTAATTGTATTTTATCAAATTACAATTAATTAAGTAATTAATCAATCAAACTTATGCATGATGAAACAATAAAGAAGAAATTTTCTAAACAAACCCATTCAAAAAAAATTCTAAAAATAGACCCCTTGAGTTTTTTTTTTCAAAAATCGACTCATTTTGTCTTAATCCGGTTTCTAAATAGTCGGGGTTACCAACCCCGACTATTTAGTGCATAGAATGTTAGGGTTTAGGGTTATAATTGAGGGTTTATAACTTCCTAAATAGTCGGGGTTGTCAACCCCGACTATTTAGGAACCAGATTAAGATAAAATATGATTATTTTTGTAAATAAAACTCAAATGGGTCTATTTTTAGAAAAAAAAATATGATTAAGTTTATTTAGAAAATTTCTTCAACAATAAAATATGAGGATAAAGGACTATTCACACAGTGATATCACATGCTCTGGTGACCAAAATCCAAACCACTCAAGTCGCTCACAGACCCTGCCCATTATATTAAACCTAAATCCATCAACAAAAGCTTCACTTTATCCAAAGTACCCTAACTTTGTGCAAAGCCAGTGGTTTACTAGAGAAAACAATGGGACATTTTCTCCTATATATATAACTCTCTCTAAATTAAGCTCAGTAGCTCAACTCTCATACCAAAACTCTCCTTCATTATACTGTCAACAACTACCGAAGATATGAGCTCGTTGCAGTCTTGGATCTCCGAGCACAAGCTCGCGAGTGTTGGTAGTGTTAATATTGCAAGCTCTCATTAACTCTTATCATTGTTATTTGCAAATATGGCCACTTAATTTCATTCAATGTTGATGTGTTAGGGACTTTTTGGGCCTCGGCTCTTGGAGCATCGCTGGCGTACTCGAAGAAGAAATCGCCGTTGAAGACGAGTCTCAAGTTGATACACGCAAGGTGATGTGACGATCTGTATAGATCTAATCACGTTTGCGTATCTCTTGATAGCTCATTTTGCAAAGTGATACCCACTTTTCCACAGTAAATTCATTGTTTTTAGGGTACGGGTTTTGGTTTTGCAGGATGCACGCGCAGGCGCTGACGCTGGCGGTGCTCTCTGGCGCGGCAATCATGCACTACTACGACGACAAGAGCTAGCGCTGCTGGGATCGACGATGACGAAAAACTGGCACCAATCTCCGCTTAGATGCTGGCCGAGAACGTAGAATGTAATAATGTAATTATCGAGGTGTTTTTAGTGCTAATGGGGTTTAGTTAATGTATGAATGCAATTGTTTAATGGCTAGAGAGTTTAGTTTCTAGTGTGTAAACATCTTCTCCTGATGAATCTAAGTTCTGCCTTGACATTTTCGCATATGGCTCAGCAGTGATTTAATCATTGCCTCTAAAATACCCCCCAGTTGTTGAAAATTTAATAGAAATACTAAAAGGATAGAAGGGTGATTTGATGAGGGATGAGAGATATTTTTGTCTTTTTAGTCTCGTGTTAGATTTGATGAGGGATGAGAGATATTTTTGTCTTTTTTAGGGCTAGGAGGTAATTTTTGTTGGGTGTCACTTTGAGGTTAAAGTGAAAATTTCTCTAAAGATTTAAGAGTTTTGCTACAGGGACCCAAAATATGTGACCAATAAAGGGGACAAATGAGGTGTCCCCCTCCTATTAAATAACATTGTCCCCCTACTGGTCCCATATTTTGGGTCATTGAGGAATTTTTTAAGATTTAATGGAGCAAAAGAAGTTCCCGGGGACCACATGCAAAGCCTCTCACGCCTTGTTTGGTACACGGGAATGGACTCAAATAAGAATAGAATGGAAGAAGGAATAGAATGGAATTAATGTGAGAATGGAATTAATGTGAGAATGAAATAATCATTCTCATTCTCACGTTTTGGTGTAATTAATAAAATAAAGTGGGAATAGACGTATTTTAAAATTGTATATTTTATTGATTCTCATTTAAGTGGGAATGCTCATTCCCTATCATTTCATTGGGAATGCCTATTCCTACATAAAGTGTGAATTGATGAGAAGTGTGAATGGACATTCCAACTTCAAAAAAGAGGGTGTGTTTGGTAGAAAGAAATGAGAAGTGAGAATGACCATTCCATTCCAACCCATTCCCGTGTACCAAACGAGGCCTCAAAGGGTTTTGCGGGGTTTAACTCGTTAGGGGGTCATCAGCAAAGCTCCCCAAAGTTTAAGGTTTCCTCTGTTATTAACCCAAAAGTTTTAGGGGTGGAAATGAATCAAATAATTAATAAATAGTTGATAGTTGTTCGAATAACTATTCGGTCATATTCAATTCGGTAGTTCATTTAACACTAAACAAATATTTTTTAGTATTCAAGTCTACTAACGAATAGAATTTAATCAGATGTATATTTGATTCGTTTGTCTATTAAATATTCGTTTAAATTTTAATCACAATTTATTATTTATATTATTGTACATATGATGTCATATTTTTAATTCACTTACCATTTCTACGTAACTTTTATATACTGATTTTAAGACTTAAATAATTTTAAATCTATTTTCTAATTAATATTTTGATTTAAATATATATACATCATATATTAAAAAGGATTAATTTTTATTTATGAATTTAATATTATTTGAAAATTAAAATTTTTAGCGGAATAAATATACTTTGATATTCAATAAGTATTCGTGAATATTCAAGAATATTTATCAAATACCAAGTATTCGAGTTCGAATTCGAAAAACTAGATATATGAATATTAGAGTCCGCAAATACCAAGTATTCGAGTTCGAATTCGAAAAACTAGATATATGAATATTAGAGTCCGCATTCGAATTCGATAATAAACTAGATATATGAATATTAGAGTCCGCATTCGAATTCGATAATTTTAAACAAATACAAATACGAACACATTAGTACTCGATTCGATTCGACTCGATTGTCTACCGCCCCTAAAAAGTTCTAGCAATATCTCAAAATGGGCCGAACTCAGGCCCAGTTCAGTTATCCGATTCGGCGGTTCGATTACGATTCGCAAAACCGGAGAAAAACCCTAAAACTCAAAACCCTAACCCTAAAAATCACCAATTTTTACTGCATTCCCTCTCTCCAAACCATGACGGAGCCCAGCGAGGCCTCTTCTTCATCCTCCTCGCAATCGAAGCTGATGGAGAACAAGCCAGTGGTCGTCAGAGTAAAGAGGAAGGCGAACCAGGAGAGGCTCGATGCTTTCTGTGAGTTTCTTTGCTTATTTTTTGATGTTTTTGCTAGATTTATTGGTTTTTGTAACGGAGAATTTGGTGCTCTAGGGTTGGAGATTAACGAAAGGCCGGCGAAGAAGACGCTCTTGGATCTTGAGAGCCTCTCGGTTTCTGATTCTTCGGGGAAAGGTATGAATTTGATTAAAGTTTCCTAGGGTTTAGATGGGTACGTTGTTTTAATTTGTAAATATTTGACAACTTTACCGTTTCCTGTCTTTGAAATCCTCAGTTTTTCGACAGTTTTGTGACTTTATGCGTAGATTTAGCAAATATCTGTAATAGTAATTATGTTTTGTAGCTTCATTTTGGCCAAGGAAAAAATAACTCGGACGAATGTTGGTGACTTATATAAGGGGATTACAAAAGAGTGAAGTGTGTTAAAGATCTTTACTTTTAGGGGCTGTTTGGTTCGTTTCCTTGATATAGAGAAATGCAATTCCATGTAAAGAAACACAAGTTTTGAGTTTTCCAAACTTTTTCAAGAAATAGATTGTTTTGCTTTGGTTCGCACATAAAAAATGGTGGGAAACCAATGTATTTATTTTTCTTGTGTTTGGTTCGCATAGAAAAAAAGGAAAACTTTTGTAAACAAAGCAGAGAAAGAAAAAAATCTGACGTGGCAGAGTTTTCATCAATTTCACTTGGTTGGGGATGGAAATCGGAGAGGGAAAAAAAATCTTAGTTGGCGGCGATTTCAGCAGAGTTTTCCCTCTTCCATTCGAGCGAACTAAAGCGGCACAAAGAAATGGACGGAAACAAAAAAGCTGACGTGGAGGGGTTTTCTGAGTTTTCCACCCCTTATAATAGCGAACCAAACAGCCCCTTATTGAAAAATAATTTTCGATGTTTTCTTCATATTTCCTTTTTGAGAGAAAGGATGGGGCTTCAAAGTGAAACCCCGGCCTGCTATGTTACCTGAATGAGAGAAAGGATGGGGCTTCAAAGTGAAACCCCGGCCTGCTATGTTACCTGAATGGTTGTCTACATATAAGGACTACACCCTCAACGCCAAAGTCTAGTCATAAAGAAGCATACCGAGCTTTACATTATGTCATGTTGTATACCCAATAACACTCCCACATATGATCAATCGTAGTGCTACGGAGAGCAACAATATATTTTTACAGACAACCTAAAAAACAAAGTCTGAGCAGCCAAAACAAGATGACATAATGTAGCATCAGTAGATCTTGGACTTTTTTTGAAAGTTTTTGCTTCCTGTTTCTTTGAAACAATATTCCCTAAACAAAAATCTGCAAAGCAATTTTCTTCCATATTTCAAGTGAATGTTTATCCTTGTGAAGAAAAATTCTATTATTTCTTTCTTCCCAAATGCTCCAAATCAAGGCACAACAAAAGGCTTCTCATGCACGTCTTTGTTCTGCAAATATATAATCTCCACATAGTCCAAATCGGGAGAAAAGAGTTAGGCAAATTAATCACATTAAATTTATGATTCTAGGTATTCCCCAAATAAAACACAAAGCTACACTTGAGAAACAAATGATCAAGTGTTTCTTCTTTCAAACCACAAAGCACACAAATAGAATCAATTTGAATTCCTTTCTAATCAACATACCCTTTGTACTCAGTTTCTTCTTAAGAACAGGCCATAATAACATTTGAACGTTTAGAGGAGCTGGATATGCTGATACATCAAGAAGATGGGATGTGAAACCCCTATCTATTACAAATTGATAATGTGATTTCATTTTAAACCTTTATCATCCCATTTCTATTTTCTGATATCATCGTTGTCATGTGAAGAAATAATAAGATGCAAAGTACCCAATATTGAAAAACTAAATGCCCTGAAAGTTGTCTAACAAATAGAATTGTCCATTACCACTTCCCTTCAACCCAAAACCCCTTATCATCTGTAATTGTCTCACCTTTGTTGCATATCTTTTTTCTATGTTTTTTTGGTAATTGCAGCTATAACAGAGGCAAGAAGTAAGAAGCTTTTAGTACAACATGTTGAGACCATAAGTAGCTCTGAGGATGCTGAAGATGTTTTGCAGTCTTACCTGGTTTGCTTTTAACCTTGTTCTTTTTTATTTAAACGTATTCATATATGACTTTACGTATGTAGCTTTAAATTTGTTGATACTAGTTACTTGTTGGACAAAAATGTTATTTAAAGGTTAACATTTTTTCCCCTTAGCCATAAATTGCATCTCGGCAGTGCATGTGAATTTGAAAGATGACCTTGCTTTTGTAAAGAAGGATCGAGTTTCTTACTTGGAACCCAACAGTTATGACTTTTTATTGTGTTGTAGACTAATGTCAGTGGCTCAAAGGATCTCAAGGGGAAGATTGAGGATAGAAGGAGCATGCTCAAACAAGACAAAGTGAGTACCATAAATTCTTCGTGAGTTCAATGTATAACACTGGTGTTTTTTCATGGACGAGCTGTCTATGATAGTATATTGTCAAATTACTTTAAGCCTCTTTGCTCTTGATCGATTAATTTCTTCATTGTTCTGGTTTTCCTTCTTTTTTTCTTTGAATTATTAAGCAACAATATCACTGGTCTTGATAGTTTGTGCTTTGTGCCAACAGAAGCAAGAGCAGCTAAGGTATACAGCTAGACAAAAGCATGAGGTATGTTCTCAATGTCTTAATTTTGTCCATAGGCTGTCACAAATTTCCACATAGGGCATGCAAGATCATGTGTATCTTTATGTGTGCATGCAGTTTTCTTATAGTAAGATAAACATGAATATCGTTTCTGATCCAAGTTCTGACTCCTTATTTCTGAGATAAATAAATATCTGCTTTGCAACAAGTTTGCTACCATGACATTTGTCAACAGCCGCCTTGCAAAGTAGAGAAAGAAGTGGTTGTGATCAGGTATTTTTTTTCATAGGGGCATGTATGAATACTATCTCTGATATGTGCATCAGTTTCTAGTCATCCACTAAATGATCTGGAGAGAACCTATTTTCTTTCCCGTGTTGCTGGATATTAGTTTAAAGCATAGATGGAAAACACTATTTTGTTCAATATTATATTTCTTTTTCAAGAAAACTCTGTCATCTGAGATATAGTTTGTTCTGCTGCTTCTGTAGTTTCGACTATAATATCAGATGGCTGGACATGTCTTAACACTTAGATCTAGTTGCCATAGCAACCAGCAAATCAATTATACTCCAATTTACCACTTAACTTTGACTTCTGATGCGGTGAGATAAAATTTGTCAAGCATTAAACTGAATAAAATAAACGCTGAGCTAACTTTAGTATCCTTGTTGAAGAATTTATTGCACTATCACCATACTGCAACATTTGATATTGTTATATAGAATTTGTCAAGTCTTCCGTTGCATCAAGCAAAGATCCAAGCCATTTTATTAATTTGGGGTTCACTAGTAAACTATGTATTACATACATAAGCACACCTTTCATGTGAAGTCATTTCAGTATGTCAGCATATGAGTAAGTTACGTCGTTAACTGTTTTGAGTTCTGTACTGTTGCACTTTCATGTGGTCAGAGAACTCTGATCTATAGCAAGTATTAGTTGCTGCAACTTTTGTTGATTCTTGTGAATTTTCCTCATTCAAATTAACTCGTGTCATCATTTATGTAAGTGTTTTTCTCATCAAATTAATGGAGGGTTCTCATCAAATGGAGGTTAATTATATGAAGCAACTTCTTGCTAAGCTAAATGATAAAACTGCACTCCTTATGCTGAACTACATCACATAAGATGCAGCATCCGTGTCAAACGGTTAACAGAGTTCTTATAGATCTAATTCTAGTATGTTATTTCAAGTCTGCATTTGTCCACAGGATCTTGTACGAAGTGCTCGTTTTGAACAAATATGGAAGAGCAGAAGGGAAAGAATGAAAAATGGTGAGGATTCTCTGCATGAAATATGCCATCTATATGATGTCGTTCAAGTTGGTAATGAGGATAAGAACTCTAGAAAAGTAGCAAAGCAGGAGTAAGCTATTTTTAGTTTTTATCATCACCATTCTCCATTTCCCTCTTTTTTGCCTGCAATAATTTGTCAGCACATTGGAATGCAGGCGTCTTTCTGTGGAAGATAATGCAATATTGTGCAACTACCTCCCATTGTTGAGAGAGCATATATCTTCAGCTGCGGAGGAGATTGAATCTGAAATGAGAGCATATGCTCTTGGAGAAGGTCCATCCTACACACTTATACATTTCTAGTGATTTCTTATGACTGTATGCTATTATCTAGTTCAGGATGCTCTGGACCAACTAAAATTCAAAAATATTCATCCAGTTTCATATAAGATGAGCAGTAAATATTTGTTAAAACATTTTCTAAAATTTAAGTGCAATCAAATTTAAAAGCAGAATGGTACTGTTACTCACGTAGTTTAACAAGAGAAGATCTGCCTAGTTTGATTACTGCTTTCAGATAGTACTGATTAGTAACTATTGTCGTCACAAACAGAATCCATGAGCTGTGGTATGAATCAGTCTGCTAGATCAGACTATGTGTACGACTTGTATACTGTGCAGGAGAATCCAAATGGAATTGATAACGAGGCTGCAGAAATCACATATCCTCTGTAAGGACTTATCATCTAATTTTCTGTTGTTCGGTTTAATCATAAATGTGAATATTGCACTGAAACATGACTTACGTGCTTCAGGGTGCAAGTAAGTGAGGAAGATGATTACTATGATGGCGCCTCGGACTCTGAGTATGCAACAGATGATTCAAATGGTATGTCACGTTTTCTCTATCCTTCAATTAGTTGGATTTGCTTCGAAGAAAAGCAAGGGAGAGAGAATAAAAATCTTACTAGTTTCCTTTTTTTGTTACTAAGGGACGAATTTGGTTTAGGGGATTCAGCTTTTAGAATCAAAATCTTTTCTAGACTACATCTTCCTAGCTCTTTTATTCGAAGAAAATTTGACAATGTGTAAATTGTTTGCCTTCGTGGTGATAGAAAATGAACTTCTTAAATGTCAACTGTGAAAAACAACTTAGATATTTAGCAGTTAAAGTAGTAAATCTCTCTTTGGCATTCTCTCTCAGACTCGGTGTGTTTGGCAAGCGAATTTGGAGAGAGAAAATAGAAACTCTAACCTCTTTTCAACTTCTATTTAGAATTGAGAAAAGGTACAAGGAAAACTCAAAATGAATAAAAGGAAAAACTCGAAATGAAAATTCTAAGTAAAATTCCTTTGTTTGGCGTATGGAAACTTATGGCTTGGTCATCAAGTGCAACAATCATTTCTTCCTTATACTAGTCTATCTTACATCCATCTGAAAAAATTCAATGTCTGAACTGCAGCTGAAGACAATCCTCAGAATGATTATCCTGACGAAGAGTCGTCTGAACATGAGAAAGATGAATTTGACTATCTTGATGGTAACGATTCTAACTACGAAGATGAAGTTGTTGATGTTTCTGAAGAAGATGACGAAGATGATTGGAAATGGAGACATCGATAGCTCCTCTTTCGAACTTTTGTTGATTTGATGATATCATTTTGTAACTCACCTAAAATTTCTAATGATATGTTCCTGTTCTTGATCTAATATGGCATTAGAAAAAAAAAAAAAAGGGTTATGAAGCTAACAATATTTATCCTAACAGATAAAAAAGTGCAAATGAACTCTACACTTCCATGTTAGAATGACGTTAAGTATAGCAATCCAGTAAACTACTGATGATGAAAACCGATAACGCATCAAAGTGAACATTCAGGACCAGGAAAGTATAAGAATAACTATAAAGTCAAAACATGGAAAGAAAAAAAACATGGTCTAAAAATTCCTGATAAAGATTTTCAATCTAACAGAAACAAAAACTAAAATAGCAGATATCGCCTATTATCAATTGCATATCAACCAATGAATTGGAGTTTGTTCCACAAACTAGGGTTATGCATAAATAAACAGCAATAATTCAAATAAACTTTTGAAGCTCAATCAAAACAAGTGAATCCCATTGCATGATTGAAGCATGATTTCAATAATCAAATATTTTTGAAGGTAAAAGTATAGAGGAAAATTTTCATGACGTCGAAATTACTAAAGGACATAAGAACAAAAGGTTGTGTCTGCGACATAACTATTTAAACACAAAATCTATTCCACAAGAAAAAAAAATCAAAATATAATTGGTTTTTCCTACAGGGAACAAAACCAACACAGGCTAACCAATGTCACAAACTTCCTTAAAACAGATTCAATTTGACCAATGCGACAAATTGCAGTCACTAACAAAAATATCACTAGGAACAAATTACCAGATACAAGAAGAATAGCCTCTAAAGTTGCAATATGCAGGGAGGAAAATCAAATTTTATTGAAAATTTAGAGCTCCCAAGTTTCTTTATTGCTTGAGTATATAAGGGAGGAAAATCAAATTTATTGAAAATTTAGAGCTCCCAAGTTTCTTTATTGCTTGAGTATATAAGGGAGGAAAATCAAATTTATTGAAAATTTAGAGCTCCCAAGTTTCTTTATTGCTTGAGTATATAAGGGAGGAAAATCAAATTTATTGAAAATTTAGAGCTCCCAAGTTTCTTTATGGCTCGAGTATGTAAGGGGTAGATGACAAACAGTGTACAGATAAGGATAAGATATGAAAGCATAGAAATTTACAAAAATTCCAAGGTCAAAACCAATCAAAAATAAAGAAAATAATGAGACTGTTCTGAAAAGTCTAATTTTTTGTTCAACATTTATTGCACTATCACCATACTGCAACATTTGATATTGTTATATAGAATTTGTCAAGTCTTCCGTTGCATCAAGCAAAGATCCAAGCCATTTTATTAATTTGGGGTTCACTAGTAAACTATGTATTACATACATAAGCACACCTTTCATGTGAAGTCATTTCAGTATGTCAGCATATGAGTAAGTTACGTCGTTAACTGTTTTGAGTTCTGTACTGTTGCACTTTCATGTGGTCAGAGAACTCTGATCTATAGCAAGTATTAGTTGCTGCAACTTTTGTTGATTCTTGTGAATTTTCCTCATTCAAATTAACTCGTGTCATCATTTATGTAAGTGTTTTTCTCATCAAATTAATGGAGGGTTCTCATCAAATGGAGGTTAATTATATGAAGCAACTTCTTGCTAAGCTAAATGATAAAACTGCACTCCTTATGCTGAACTACATCACATAAGATGCAGCATCCGTGTCAAACGGTTAACAGAGTTCTTATAGATCTAATTCTAGTATGTTATTTCAAGTCTGCATTTGTCCACAGGATCTTGTACGAAGTGCTCGTTTTGAACAAATATGGAAGAGCAGAAGGGAAAGAATGAAAAATGGTGAGGATTCTCTGCATGAAATATGCCATCTATATGATGTCGTTCAAGTTGGTAATGAGGATAAGAACTCTAGAAAAGTAGCAAAGCAGGAGTAAGCTATTTTTAGTTTTTATCATCACCATTCTCCATTTCCCTCTTTTTTGCCTGCAATAATTTGTCAGCACATTGGAATGCAGGCGTCTTTCTGTGGAAGATAATGCAATATTGTGCAACTACCTCCCATTGTTGAGAGAGCATATATCTTCAGCTGCGGAGGAGATTGAATCTGAAATGAGAGCATATGCTCTTGGAGAAGGTCCATCCTACACACTTATACATTTCTAGTGATTTCTTATGACTGTATGCTATTATCTAGTTCAGGATGCTCTGGACCAACTAAAATTCAAAAATATTCATCCAGTTTCATATAAGATGAGCAGTAAATATTTGTTAAAACATTTTCTAAAATTTAAGTGCAATCAAATTTAAAAGCAGAATGGTACTGTTACTCACGTAGTTTAACAAGAGAAGATCTGCCTAGTTTGATTACTGCTTTCAGATAGTACTGATTAGTAACTATTGTCGTCACAAACAGAATCCATGAGCTGTGGTATGAATCAGTCTGCTAGATCAGACTATGTGTACGACTTGTATACTGTGCAGGAGAATCCAAATGGAATTGATAACGAGGCTGCAGAAATCACATATCCTCTGTAAGGACTTATCATCTAATTTTCTGTTGTTCGGTTTAATCATAAATGTGAATATTGCACTGAAACATGACTTACGTGCTTCAGGGTGCAAGTAAGTGAGGAAGATGATTACTATGATGGCGCCTCGGACTCTGAGTATGCAACAGATGATTCAAATGGTATGTCACGTTTTCTCTATCCTTCAATTAGTTGGATTTGCTTCGAAGAAAAGCAAGGGAGAGAGAATAAAAATCTTACTAGTTTCCTTTTTTTGTTACTAAGGGACGAATTTGGTTTAGGGGATTCAGCTTTTAGAATCAAAATCTTTTCTAGACTACATCTTCCTAGCTCTTTTATTCGAAGAAAATTTGACAATGTGTAAATTGTTTGCCTTCGTGGTGATAGAAAATGAACTTCTTAAATGTCAACTGTGAAAAACAACTTAGATATTTAGCAGTTAAAGTAGTAAATCTCTCTTTGGCATTCTCTCTCAGACTCGGTGTGTTTGGCAAGCGAATTTGGAGAGAGAAAATAGAAACTCTAACCTCTTTTCAACTTCTATTTAGAATTGAGAAAAGGTACAAGGAAAACTCAAAATGAATAAAAGGAAAAACTCGAAATGAAAATTCTAAGTAAAATTCCTTTGTTTGGCGTATGGAAACTTATGGCTTGGTCATCAAGTGCAACAATCATTTCTTCCTTATACTAGTCTATCTTACATCCATCTGAAAAAATTCAATGTCTGAACTGCAGCTGAAGACAATCCTCAGAATGATTATCCTGACGAAGAGTCGTCTGAACATGAGAAAGATGAATTTGACTATCTTGATGGTAACGATTCTAACTACGAAGATGAAGTTGTTGATGTTTCTGAAGAAGATGACGAAGATGATTGGAAATGGAGACATCGATAGCTCCTCTTTCGAACTTTTGTTGATTTGATGATATCATTTTGTAACTCACCTAAAATTTCTAATGATATGTTCCTGTTCTTGGTAATCTTATGGCTAGGAAACAGTTAAGTATCTTACAGTTTCACTTTTTTAGTACTTATATATCCTTAATTGTATTTAGTCCCTGACTTGGTTAAAAGTGGCATCTTAATTCCCTATGTTAGCAAACGTGAAAATTTTCATCCAAATTTTATTGGAAACATTCATATGTTAATTTTAGGGCTTTTTAAGCATTAATATTTGTTAAATTATTATTAAATCTATCCAGATTCTAGTGCAGGTGTATTCTACTTTTACGTTAAAAAATAAAATTTGGAAAGACTTAACAATGAATTTAATAAACTTAATAGATAAAAAGAACAATGAATTTAATAAACTTAATAGATAAAAAGTTATAAAATTAGCATATACGTGTAATATAGGAACTTTTGGATAAAAAAATTTAAGTTTGCAAAAAAAATAGTATTAATGTGTCAATGTTGACCAACTTAGGATTTATAAATGCTATGGAATACTAAGAGAGCATATAAGTACTAAGAGAGTAAAAGTATTAAGGTATTTAATTGAACTGAGAGTACATAAGTGCTAAGAGAGTGAAACTATAAAATATTTAATTGCTATTTTGCCCAATCTTATTAAAATATTAGCGTGCACAGTATAAGATGAGTAGCTGCCAGTTCCTTAATTGTGTACAGTACTTCTATGAATGTCAGTACTCCAAGATCTCATCAGATGTAATTTAACAATAACATGTTATATGGAAAAAATCATACATAGGGTTATATGTAAAAATCACGAGAGTAAGCAGAATGCGCACAATCATTGATTCAATAGTTAGTTCACAATGATTTTAGTTCACAATGATCTTGTTACATATTACGATATTTTTACAATGACCCCATCCTATTTATTATCAAAAAAAAAAAAATAGTGGATAGACCATTGCTTAAACATAACCATATATTATCATGGTCATAATTTTTTTCTTTGAGTACAAATTATAAATGAATGTAGTTCACAGGGGTATAGCGTGTATTATATTTAAAATGTATCATAATTACTAACTAGATAACTAACGGTTGAAATTAAAAATAGTAATCTCTTTATTACGTTTTTACAGTGAATAAAATTCAAATTCTTTTTTACATTCTGATGAAAATGGTTTCATATTAATTATAGTGCACCCATTGCACATTATTTCCTTTCCCTATTACTCAATTTTATGCTTTGGCCCCATTGTTTGATTACGGAGCCAACGCACAGCTGTGAGGATGCAGTTAAAAGCAAGCGAATGAGGTCTATCAAACTTGAGTTTGCTTTTTGTCCTACGCGATGGAGACATCTTAAATAATTTTAATTATTGGTTAAAATACACTAGGTAAATATATAGGGAGGTGCTACAGGCACACCACCGGACACACCCTCAAGCACACTCCCTCTCCTGCTACAGTGCAGGGGACCCACATGAGATTTTTAAAAATCTTATGTGGCCCCCCTGCACTGTAGCAGGAGAGGGAGTGTGGCTGAGGGTGTGTCCGGTGGTGTACCTTCATCATTTTTCAAATATATAACAGCCAAATATATAACACATCATGGTAAGTGCAAAGTACTACTCATAAGCAGCCAAATAACAAGAAAACAATGTGATGTTGAGATTAGAGAAGCATGAGCAAGTAGCACTTAGAGTGGTGCCCTCCTCGGTCTGAGTCAGTCCAAAAGTGTCCACATCATTACATTCTAATTAATTAATTATTACTTATGGAGAGGAGATTATCTTGGGAAATTTGTACTGGAGGGCCTTTATCTTTAATAATCCAATGGGGAAATACCTTGATTTTTTGGGGCTATCCGAAAACATATTTGACCCAAGGGAAAAAAATTTAAAATCCCCCTAATCTATGTGACTCTTCCAAGAATTTTTAAATTGTCCTCTCCATCATTCTTTTTTCCCCTACTTTTCTCTCTATCTCTCTCTCTTTCCTCTCTTTTTTCTCTTCTCGTATTGATCTTCCATGAACCCTTGAACCTTTTGTTGGAGTAGTGATAATATGCCCTTGAACATTCAATACAAGTTATGTAACTTTCTTATAATGTTAATAGATTAAATTGTTGCACATATAATTTGGGTGCCATTTTTATAAATATCCTTAGAAATTGTTTTGTTTGATCGTGTGTTGTGATGATCACTTGCTTGGAGATGTGATCTAACTTAATATTTTTTAAACTTATGCTTAACCTTTAACTAGTAAATATCAACTTAGTTGTAACAGGTTATTATACATGATACTAACATGTGAGATGTGGTGGTGGATCTTAACCACTAGGAATAGGGATTCCCCAAGTGTATGTCATAAACTGATAAACACCGTCGTGATGTGTATAGCACTAAAGTGCATTTGGATTCCCCCGGACGAGTAACCTAAGAGATAAATAATTCAAATTGGTACCTTTGACTTGATGATATGGTTATTTCCGATTTGATAATTTAGTATGCTTTGATGTGATCATTAAGCTTGTTTAGCAAACGCTACATAATATAAAATTTTGGGTTGCTAGATTTTATTTAGGGAAGTGACAAATATCTATATAGGATCTAATATGCTCATTATGATGAGTTAATTTATTATGCATATCGCATGAAGTTATTAAATTCCCGTCAGCGGGTGGTCTTGGACAATATCTATTAAATTTTATTTTCTTATAAAATAAAATATTTTGATATTTTAAAATACTTTTTATTTATGTTCCTAGGGATTAAAATTTGGGCATGAACAAATAGGTGAATTGTCCTACTCGAAAGAGTTGCCTAAAATAAATTATACTAGTGACGACTAAATGTAAGATATTATTAATAAATAATTAATCGCATATTATGAAAGAGTTTTTACAAATAGTTTGTCGAATATGGATTTGATTGAAATTAAAATTATTAATTTGGTTAATAATTAATTCTTGGTATAAGACTCAATTGGTCTCATTAATGTTATTAGAAGATGTTTACATGCAATACAAATTCTATTCTATCTTTAATTGTTATGGATAGAGTTTTTAAACAATTCTATTCTATCTTAAATTGATATGGATAGAGTTTTTAAACAATTCTATTCTATCTTAAATTGATATGGATAGAGTTCTAAACAATTATGAATTATTTAAAAATAAAATATATAATGCTAGTCTAATCCTATATATAGGTTTCATATGTATGTTGGCCACCCACGTGCGAAACCGGACGCGGTTTCATCTCCGCGTGAAGAGACACGAAGCCCATGAAGGCACACCCAAATACATCATATATATATATGATTGAGATGTTTAGGTTTTTCGGTGATGCAAAGGAGGTGTGCGGTGTACGTGCGGCTACAGTTCGTACGCAAGGGGGAATTGTTTTCGGCGTGCAAGGCTTTGGAGACTTGATTGCTTTTGGGCGGCTACAGGCAAAAGAAAAAGAGCTTTTGTTTATTGTTTTGAGAGAGATATTGTGAGGGATCTGAGAGTTTGTTTGAGGGTTTAGGTTGTGAGTAATTATAAACCCTAGTTGTATTCTCTCCCTCTATTAGTAGATCTCCCCCCTCCTTTCCCCCTGGACGTAGGCAATTTGCCGAACCACGTAAAAATTGATTGTACTGCTATTTGTGTGATTTGTAATAGCTTTTTAGGTTCCTTCGACGCGCAGTCCTAGAGCTGACGAGAGGAAGAGCAAATATCCCACTTTGATGGGATATTAGGCTTTAGATTCTTGTTCCCTTTGAGAAACAAGAATTCTTATTGAACCCTAGTTGTATTCTCTCCCTCTAATAGTAGATCTCCCCCCTCTTTGCCCCGTGGACGTAGGCAATTTTTTGAACCACGTAAATTGGTTGTACTACTATTTGGGTGATTTGTAATAGCTTTTTAGGTTCCCTCGACGCGCAGTCCTAGAGCTGACGAGGGGAAGAGCTAATATCTCACTTTGATGAGATATTAGGCTTCAGATTCTTGTTCTCTTTGAGAAACAAAAATTCTTATTGCGATCTGACTCTCTTGTTGTGCTGCCGAAGTGCTGCCGAAATTTCCGTTGCGCGCAACAAGTGGTATCAGAGCCCAGATTTCAGATCTAGGGTTTTTTGGTGGAGGAATATTCTTGTGTGACGCTTAGTTCTTGGAGTTCTCGGCTTCGGTGGAGATAGCATTAGGAGTTACCGTTGGAGATTTCGCTTTCCTCGTGTGGTTAGGAAATCTATTTGGAATCCAATCTAGGGTTCAGTTGGGTGGTTCCTAATTTCTATCAAATTTGTTCTTTCTCTACAATTTTGGAGTTAATTCGCAATGGGAGAAGAAGGTGAAAGCAGCAAATCGATGGCGGGTACAATACAAGTTGGTTTTCAGAACACTAAGATTAGTGTGGTGAAGTATGACGGTAAATCAACTTTGGTTTGTGGATGAGCGACGTACATGATGCACTCAATGCTCAGAATTTGGAAGAGACCATTATGGTCCACGAGAGGCCACCTAAATATGAAGAGGCGGTATGGGAGAAGATGAATAGGAACGCTTGTGGGGTGATCAGGTCCTGTTTGGAACAGGAGCTGAAATATGATGTGATTGGGGTGACGTCTGCAATGAAGATGTGGGAAATTCTCAACAATAAGTATCTCACAAAGAGTGTTGAAAACAGGTTGCACTTGCTACGAAGACTTTTCAGATTTTAGATGTCCAGAGGCACCTCGCTAGCGGCTCACGTGAACAACTACACTAAGTTGTTGTCGAACTTGGCGAATGTTGATGAGAAGATATCGGATGAGTACAAGGCGATTATTTTGTTGGGCTCCTTACCGGATGAGGAGTATGATACCTTCGTGCTCACTTTGTTGAACGGGAGATCTTCTATCAGCTATAGTGAAGTGACTAACGCTTTGACAAATTACGATTTGAGGAGGAAGGATAAGGAGACTTCCCGCGCTAGTACTTCAGGAGAGGCCTTGTCGACGAGAGGTAGAAGCCCATATCCGAAAGGTGGTAATAGAGGAAGGTCAAAGTCTAGAGGTCGCCACCAATTAACAAAGAATCAATGTGCATTCTGCAAGGAGCAGGGACATTGGAAGAGAGACTGTCCGAAGCTC